GTTGAAATGTCCACTTAAGTTTCCTAAACATCACAAACGACGACGGAAACGAACTATTTTGAAAAAACAAATTGCTGGTTCATCTATAAATCATCTTACGATTGACAACATTCAAAAAACTGTTTATCGAGCATTTGATGATGCATATTATCTTCTCTCTACAGTTGATGTCAATAGTGCTCTACGAAAAAAGAAAAAAAATACGATTTCTCAAGTGAGCTCGTTTGTGCGAGCTCAGTTTACCAAAAAGTTTTAAAAAGTTTCATATGATGATGTTGAAACATATTCATCTGACGATGAAGATGATTATAAATATAAAATTGATCTGTCAGCGAACGTAGAGGAAGAAGACACATCTGACGACGAAGAGAATCTATCCTCTGTTTCAGCCAGTGGGAAAACTCATTTTCATGGGATGAGAGTATACGATAATATCGCCTCGTCTCAATCAAATTCTTATTATTGCGTTGAAATTGACGGGAAAAAAAAATTCATCCATAAACAGACTGCTTGCTGGCTTTTAACCGATGAGAAAGCATCTCTATCAGCTGATCGAGTTAAACGAGTGCAACAGGTAAATTAGTAAATACTTGACAGAGTAGTATAATAAATTGTATAAGTAGTTAAATAGTTTTTGTTCTTTCTTTTTCATTTTTCTGATTTTTGTTATTTTTCTTTGCTCTTTTTTTTTCAATAAAATACGACAAACTAACGTCCTCTGAAGTCCCGGTTGGCTTGATACCCATTATAACAAGTGACGTATCTAGGCAACTGACGACAACAGATTTTCTTTTACTATGACTTAACCTATTGTCTCATTATAATCTTCTGTGCAAAATCTTTGAAGTACGACAAAAATCCGTGAAATACCAAAAAATCCCTGAAATACCATAAAAATGCCGAAATCCCGCAAAAATCCCAAAATCTTCTAGAAATCTTATGACAATTCACAAAATACTAAAAATACGACAAAAATCCTGGAAATACCGGAAATACGCAATCCGCCGTTTCCCCCTTGACACTTACAGTCTAGAAAGTGGAATTTTGTTTCATTTTACAAAGAAATCTGACTTTGGTTTAGATAAATGCTTGATCAGAATGATCTTCCTTTGTGATTTCGATGATTTATTATATCAATTTTTTGTAGGACAGGTTGGTTTTAACACAATTTTTTTCTGGATAAAATAGAATTAGATCAGAAGTTGAGATTAGCCGAATATGTCTTTCAGAAAGACAGCTGAATGCAATTCTGAAAGCTGTCTAGCAGTGAGTCATTGATCATGATCTTCATATGAAGGTCAGAAGTATGTCCTTATAAGATATTAATCAAATCTCTGTGATAAAACTTTTTAAAGTTATTTTCTGTCACTAATGAAGTATATATTCTGAATAAAAGTCAAATTGAAATAGATGAGTTTTACTTGAACTTCTTATAACAATTCAAAATATCTCAATCGATCATGAATAACGTGATACAGCTCATATACATATGTACCAGAGTTGGTCACGTCTAATATATTATTTGCTCGAACCGCTTTTCGCTGTATATTTTCATATTTTGTGTTTTATAAGAAAAGTTAAAGAGCTAATGTTGGAAACCTTCGGGAGTACTAGTCTCTAGATCAAAGATAGATGAAAGGTCCTATGTTGATAGCTTTTACACTATTGAATAGTCACCTCATAATGTTCAAGGATCAGAAGAAGAAAGTGCTGGTTTTCACCAAACAACTCAGAGAAATGTCACCCTCACCTGTTGAAGAGTTTGATTGACTTTGTCAAAAAGAAATAGTTTTTTTCATTGTAAAATCCAAAAAACTATCTTTAGAATAGTCAGAATCATAATTAAGGGCTGAAGAACATAAACCAGTGATGAGTTTAATTTTTCTTGTCACTTTCAAGTTAATGATGAATATTGTAGGTCATTAGTACCATAAGAAACTGAGCAAGAAACTAGTATTAGAGTTGACTTCGGTTGTTAATGCAATTATTTTTTCAAACGTATGGAATGACAACCTTGAAGTTTGATAAACTCTGGCAAGGAAGTATCGTCTTATAGTAATGACTTTTAGTGCATACTATCTAGGATAACAACAATAGAGAGAGAGAGAGTTTGTTATAAAAATTTTCCTTTTATTGAATGTTATTTGACATTCGCAAATAAATTTCTTTTGTACGCCATTTATCTTTAAGTTCATTTTTCATATAATGACTTACGTTAGTCTGTTTTCACAATTGCCATGAGCGACGATTACCAATTTTAATCATTCATTTCATATTGTAGAATCTAGCAGTACAACCCAAAGCTACGTCTCCACCACGGCATTAAACAATAATCAAATGACGACAGGCATCAATTTGGATGCGGCATCTCGACAAGTAATCATATTTCTATTATATATTACGCATGTCTTAACTAATTAAATTGAACGAAATTCTAGTTAGAAAATGCCTAAAAGTTGCCAAAAGGCTCGTTAAGAATCACTAGTATTGTTGTCAATAATGTTGGAACAAATGTTGCCGGTGGTCGTCGTCGTCGTCATGGACTTTACAGAAAAAAACGTGCCCTGTGCGTCTACGTTTTGCGTGATTTTTTTTATAATGCATTTTTTCTCAACACTTATGTAACTCTGTTTCAGACCAAGTTGCAATCAATTGGGATCTGCTGGCTCATTTGTGCAAATGTCAATGGTTGTAGTCTACCCGAAGAAACTTGGCAAATCTAACGCTTTAAAACAAGCCTTTTTCAATTATGCTATAACTATTTTTAATACATTTACATCGGGTATTCCAGTAACATTACAATTGGCTAGCGGAGGTTCCGTTCAACTCGTGTTATACGGTTGCGCGAAAGACAGTGATTTATCATTGTTCGGAACTTCTACTACTAGTACTACAACAGGTAAAAAGTTTTTCTGTTTCATACATTTCAGTATGTCTTCGCACGTATATTTTCGCTTTTCAGCTTTGAGAAATTAGCTTATGAGCAAAAGTTTAGTGCTGTAGAATTTTTTTGCAGAACAATACTAAAACCTAAAATTTACTCAACGAGTGATACCTAATATTTAAAGAATATTGAATCTCTCAATTTTCTGTGAATTTCACGAGTGAAATAATCGGAATATATATATTTCAGTGCAGTAGAAACCGCTTGATATTAACCCATATATTATTCAAAAGCCATTCTCGACTTGCTAGCATTGCAATATCTATTTGCATGCCATGGGTCGTGATCAAACTGTTTTTGTACACTTTCCTTTTTGCGTTGAAATGAAAATGTTCACTGACAGAGTAAAAATCATCATTCATAAATGTAGCTACATTTTTGGTTAAAAATTTCCACTGATAACATCGCAGAGTATCCTGGTGTGAGTCATTCTTTCTGCTTTTGCTCTTATAACAATCAACCCAACTCCTTGTTTAGCCATATCGACGCTCTAATCACTATAGTAATAATGCAACGATCGTGCGACTTTTTCATTAATTTTGACTAGAGTCTTATACACCTGAAAGTCGCTCAAAAGTCATACGAAGCATCTTTCAAGTAGTCAGTCGTGAGTTTTCTCGTTAATGCTATGTCCAACAACTTATTTAGCAATTTACTAGTATCTTTATGCAGTACAAAGTATAAAAATGATGTGTCTGATCACCTCATGCAAACTATATCAGAGATTTTCATGTCCCATGATGCTATTCATATTTTTGAATTATTCGTATAGACTTTCGTCAATCTTCAATAACTTTGGAACTTTTATTTTTCTCAAGATAGTGAAAACTGACAAATCAGTGGATAGTCATAGCAGAGATCAGTGTGACAAAAGTCGATTGTTCTCAAGCATTTGAGGTTGTTTCATCTATCTGGCGTCGAGTTTTTTTCTCTCGAAGTTTCCATGGATTTATGCATATATAATATTGCGATGATCTCGAGATTGATTAGAGGTATGTCTTATTTTGATTTCAACTCGAGTTGAAGCTTCCAAACCATGAAATACGAGCTCTAGTTTAGGAAAGAAGTCGTGTTGCTTGAGAGGTCCTTTCAGTTCAACGAATATTCATCGAAAATTTAGCATGCAGACTGTATTTCGGAAATTGAGTGAAGCTCATATACCATCTAGTTCTACTGATCGAATGGGTGTGGGCTTATCATCTTCTCATTGTCCACATCTATTCTTTTACTTTTAAAAAGTAAAATAATATCGATCTCCTCATAAGCCGGCACGAAAAAATTTATGTACGTACCTGCTATAACAGCATCAGTTAAACATATGTTTTCTCCATGTGGTCTTTTAATGACATCGAATAGTTCTTATTTTACACAAACTAATATTTGAATTCTAACATCTTTAAGGTATTATTGTTGATTAATCTAGAGTAGTTGCATCAATTTATTTTATCGGTAACTTATTTTGGTTTTCGTGAATCAAAACCAGGAACTCGATATCGTGCAAAGAAAAAACTTGTTGTTGGAGTTTTTTATAACCACAAACACAGGAGAATGAAAAAAATTGCAAAACCAAAAACTTGATTCGACTCGACTCAAGAAATGCTTTGACTCACCCAGCCGTGATTTCTAAGATATAAGTGAAGATGGAAAGTTTCGTGTGCCAAAAACAGACATGAAATCAGCTTTCTTGAATTCCAACCAAAATGAACGATCCATGAACGACATCTGATAAAAAACCGCTTTTTTGACGCGTCACTATTCTAGATTAGGGGTTTAAGACTTTTTTAAATACTTAAAAGAAATGATCTCCGTCTGCCCTTCCCATCGCCATATCAGAAACGCCCTTTATGAATCACTCGTATGAAAGACAGAGAGAAAGGGTGCAATAAAAACTTCAAACAGTTTAAAACGAACATATTCGAATGTATCAGAAAATGGAAGATTTTCTGAGTGTAGGACTCTACTATCTTTCGATCTCTCTCGAATCAATTATTGCTGACATCATGTCACCACGGATAAAAACAAACTGATGAAGCAGTACTTAGGCATAACTCTAAAAATGTGTTGTCATCTTTTTTTGTTATTAGCGCCGTGCATTCCAACATTTGCGAGCACATCAATTAGACTTACGGCTGGCAATGGACCGTATGCAGTGGCAGCAGCTGATATCACTCAGGATGGACGATCTGATATCGTCCCCTCAAATAGGACAGACGGCACCATTTCGGTTTTCTTCAACACAGGTGCTGGCACATTTGCAACTCCAGCAGTACTTGACAATGGTCTGGTCGTTGTCACCAACCCCGAGGGTCTCACAATCGCTGACGTATTGGGTGCCGATACCTTCCCCGATATTATTGTAGCAAATAGGGGTCAAGACAATATCCTTGTTTACCAGGGTACTGGTGCCGGCGTATTTTCTGCCGCTCAGTCCATAGCCCTTCCGGTCATAGCCCCTCCGCTGACAGCCGCACCACGCGATGTTGCAGTCTCTGATCTCAATGGTGATAGCAGAAACGATATTGTTGTAGCATGTAGTGATGCAAACGTCCGTGTTTTACTATACAATAATGTTGCTAACCCATTTCCTGTGGCATCACTCCTTGCACTTGGAGCTGGCGCTGTTGCGAGGTCTGTAGTACTAGCTAATCTTGATGGCAGGGACAGAGACGACATTATTGTTGCAAGCACTATTGCAAACGAAGTTAGAACTTTTCGGAACGATGGTAGGGGCGGATTTGTGGCGTGGCGCCCTACCGAAACTGCTCCGGAAGGCCAGGGGCCGCAGTCGGTGGCAGCAGGTGACGTGAGTGGTGATGGCTTCCCCGACGTTGTTGTTGCATGTACCGATTCAAGCAACATTGGTATTTCGCTTACTGATGGCACAGGTATAATTGCTGATCCGTTTTTTCTTACACCTGGTGTAGCACCACGCGCTGTGAGACTTGCAGATATCAATAACGATGGGAAACTTGACATTCTCTATACAAGCAACTCTGGTAACAGCTTTGGTTATTTCCGCAATACAGGCAATAACATATTCGTTCACCAAGGACCCATTGCGATTCCTTAATTAGTTGGTGCTAAGCCTGCACCCTTACCCATTGGCATAACAACAGCGGATATTAATGCCGATGGAACAGCCGATGTTATTATCGCAGAAAATAATATAGCCAGCGTTGATGTATTCACTACTAGCTGCCCTTAATACATGAATCTAATTTTTTTTGTCACTGGTATCTGACAAGATGAAACTCTGACAATGACATTAATATAACACTTTATTCTTTATCCAGGCAATTTAGTAACACAAAAAGAAATTTTTTTTTTCGTTCTTTACTAACCGACTAAAAAGATTATTTATTATTTATCATTGAGAAGTTTTTACTAATAAATTCATAATCAAATTTGAATCTTTACAATAGAATTGAGAGAGGGTGTGTTGTGGGTGTGTAAAAGCTACCACGATAGCTTAGGCATTTCGATGTTACTGAAAACTATTCTTATCAAGTGGCACGGGATATTAGTATATAAAAGATTCAAAATAATAAAATTTCGAACCAAATACATAATACCATTATTTACTCAGAGGGTATGTAGAGTTACCACGATGCCTAGGGTATTTCGATGTTACTGACTTAATCTTATCAAGTGGCCTAAGTATCAGTATAAGAGAACCAAAAATAAAATATTTAAGTCAATACATAGTACTTTATATATGGGTGATTCCACCGTATATATGACACTTTATACATGACTTTTTCCAAATCGATTTTCATCTTTATAATCGTGTAGAGCATAGTCGATTTACTGATCATTATGACAAAAGTTTCACTGAAACTTCTTCCGATTAAGAGATTCCAAATTTACCGGATTATAGCAAAATATTGGTACAGTGATTTTATCAGTATGCGAGAGAAAATTATTTTGTGTTACAAAAGAACATTTTTTATATTTATTATCGTGTCGAACGTATAGTAATGGATCGAAAAGTATATTTATTTGTCTCCCTTCTGTTTTTTAGAAATGAAATGTCAAACAAAAATAGAGTCAAAATGACATAGGAAACATTCCAAAACAGAGTAAAAATAGGTGAAACATCTGTCAGCATATATCTATAGCGCAGAATTTGGGCACATAGTGGCATAACAGATTTTGTCGAGCAAAGCTTGCTGTACATGCCCATATATAACACTTTTCGGGAGAGTACCACAAATGGGATCATTTCAACATGAAAAGATTATCAGCAATAATCAAATTATACGTATATGCATTCTTGAATTTATTATGATGTAACAATGAATTCAAGATAGAAAAGATCGCATAGTCAATAAGATTACTCTCTTAAGCAGCTATTCTGTGTTCAGATTGTTTCTGAAATAAAATAAATCTCTCGTTCATATGCATGTTGCTAATGTTTCTACATATTGATCTTCGGCAATTTTTAATATTTTCGCTACTCATTGAACGAAATCCAGAAATACGTATCAATGCACAAAACCATGAAATAGTGTTAACTATCCAAAAAGCACAAATCTAAGCCACAACATTAAATGAATCAACTTAACTAATCAGTTCGTTGGCATGCTTATCAGTAGACGTCGATGTACGAAGGCACGCAACTTTATTATTTGCTATTGGATCAAACGGATGCATACTTCTTATTGATTGAACCCATTCTATAACAAATTTGCAATGATGTTGAGGTATATTTCTGAAAAAATCTTTCCTTTAAATTCTGTTTGCTTCCATCGATTGTGCAAATTGAATTTGCGCGTATCGTTATTCATTGCATGACTGTCCAAGTAAAACACAGTTACAGATGTATCCTGGGAAGCAAAATTAAAGAGCTCCTTTGGTGTAAGAATTGCATCATCAGGATTGCCAGTCAACACTTGTCGAGTGGCTTGGTATTTAATGGAAGTACCGACAGCATCTGCGGGACTCTTCCTTTGAGCTGTCGCACAAAACGTCTACGATGCAATAATGCCGAAGTCTTGATAATGGTAAGTAAGATTGAGTATACTTTTATTACTTTTGAAATGTTGAGTTGCTCCATCCGTCACATAAATAAGGTGTTTTACGTTTGGATATTTGCGGCGAACAAATTCCACTATATGACTTTGCGCTGCATGCACAAATTCGGCATTATGATCAAGACAATGACTAACAAATGCTAGACTGTGATGTGCGTCCTTATTAATTCGAACGTGTACGGTAAAAATTGTAGCTTGAGAATTAGTATAATGTGCTTGTTGTACTTCATGTTGCACGATAAGACTATGGTTTTCCTCTAAGTCCATCTGTATGATCACGCTACCTTGATCATCAGCTTCTTCTTTTATTTTTTTTGATATAGCTGATTTGTTGTCGGATATAATAGTGATGAGCAATATATTTTGTCCATTGATCATCAAATTCATCTAGAAGATTACTAACAGAACCCTTGATGCGCTGCATGATGATCTTGCTGTTCGTTGATTTACCATCTTCATTGCTATTATCATTTTTTCTTGGAAGACAATAATTCATCCAATAAACATCTTCTACGGTCACATTATCATTTGTTTGTCGCCGAAGAACATCACTGGGTAAACGTTGTTTACATTTATCACATTCTCGAAAGTAATATTTTTCGGTTGTTGGTTCACAAAGAACCTCAGTTTGAATAAACGTATAATCTACATTAGTTAAACCAAGCTTGTTTTAAGCCTAATAAAATAAAAATATTTGTACTATAGAATCTCTTCGAAGCTAACCTTGACCAAAAGATCGAAGTTCTCATGATAGAGACACGAGAAGACATCAAATGGTGTTTTGATTTTTTTTCATTTTGGTCTTAATGTGTAAAACGTTGATTCACCAACTTTAATATTAGAATTTCTTTCATCCAAATGTTTTATGAATAGTTGGTAAGCTTGTCCGACAGTCATACACATGTGTCTAGTGGGCATTAGTTGTTCTTGTATATGGATTACGTCTTTTTTATTAGATGATTGATGACTAATAGCATCGTCTTCATAAAAATTAACTACTTGTTTGACAACTTGTGAATCTATTGGGACGTTATCCCGTAAATCATCTGGTGTCGTTAAAATATTGAAAGAATTTCGTAGTTCTATCGATTTTTGAGCTTGATATCTGGTGCATGAAAAGAAAGATTCGATTTTCGTACGACCCTATGACGACGGTGCAATTGTTCACATACGAATCTGTTCATCATAATATCTTTTATTAAACAGCATTTGTAAGCCATTAAGTAAAGTGTTTCTTTCCTCAAAAGTAAGCTTTGAGTTATCAGATTTTATTTGTTCTCTCGACGGTTCTTTTAACAGATGATTAGCACCAACTCGTATTGCTTCGATAGTCATCCTTATTTTCTCGTGTATTATATTTCTTTGTCGACTAAAAACAATAATAAAATAAATATTCGGATCAAATGAAGAGAATATCTTACATATCAACAATTGGAGAAACATCAACTATCTTAAATATCTCATTTAACATATTCATCGGTCGGCATTGATGGTACTTTCTATCTTCTTCAGTCGTTTCCTCATTTGATGACAGCGAAGATGAGGATAACTCGTCGGAAGACGTGTCATCTGATGATGCCTCAACCTCGCTCGATGTTAAAGACTTGCATAGAGATCCATTGTAATCCACTTCCATTGCATTATTATCCCATAGTTCGGTTTCTTCTTCGTGTACAGCACCCAACTGAGAGACAAATTGTTTTCGAGCTGTTTCGTAACATGTACGACAAAGCACATCACCTTCGTTCATCATCAGTTTGTCATCCCCTGTTTCTCTCAAATATTGTCGAGTAATAAATGCAGCCAAGCTCGAAGCAATTGGTCGATTACCTCGAGGATAAGTAGGATTACGTCCTGACTTCGTTGCGTATCAATGAGCCGTAGGAGGACTGCAACAGCGCACTTTTTGAGACATGATCTTTGAATTTCCGAATGTATTTATGTTTTATGTAACGAATAAATAAAAATGAATGTGACAGAAGATTTCATAATAACCCTACATCTGATATTATTCAAACTATTGGTTTATAATAGGGTGAATTAGAAAGACGATAGAGAACGCTCGCTGACACGATAATCTTCTTGACTATGCGATATTTTCTATGTTGAATTCATTGTTCATCATAAGCAATTCAAGAATGCGTATACTTATAATTTGATTATTTCTGATAATCTTCTCATGTTGAAATGACCCCAGTTGTGGTACTCCCCGAAAAAGTGTTATATATGGGCATGTAGCGCACGCTTTGCTCTACAAAACCTGCTATGCCACTATATGCCCAAATTCTGCGTTATAGATATATGCTGACAGATGTTTCACCTATTTTTAGCCTGTTTTGGGAGTTTCTTATGTCATTTTAACTCTATTTTTGTTTGGCACTCCATTTCTTATAAAAGAAGGGAGACAAATAAATATACTTTTCGATCCATTACTATACGTTCGACACGATAATAAATATAAAAAATCTTCTTTTGTAACACAAAATAATTTTCTCTCGCATGGTGATAAAATCACTGTACCAATATTTTGCTATAATCCGGTAAATTTGAGATCTTTTAATCGGAAGAAGTTTCAGTGAAACTTTTGGCATAATGATCAATAAGTCGACTATACTCTATACGATTATAAAGATGAAAATCGGTTTGAAGAAAGTCATGTATAAAGTGATATATATACGGTGGAATCACCCGTATATAAACTATTATGAATTGACTTAAAAATTTTATTTTTGGTTCTCTTATATTGATACTTAGGCCACTTGATAAGATTAAGTCAGTAACATCGAAATACCCCTGGCATCGTGGCAACTCAACATACCCTATGAGTCAATAATGGTATTATGTATTTGGTTCGAAACAGAGATGTTGGCGGGTTGACCCGTTTTCGTTCAACCCGCCCGACCCGTGGACTCGCCCGCGGGTTACGGGCCGGATCAGACCTCTGACGGATCACGGGTTTACGGGTAGTTGTTTTCTCATTTTACGGGTTTCACGAGCCAGGTTATATTTTTCCGAGAACCCGCGGGTTCAACCCGTTTACAAGTTTTGCATTTCAATGCTTTCAGCCTTCATTTCTTTTCTGCTATGTATGTTTACGGTCACTATTTATAAAGTGTCTTCGTTCATCCACCGGTTTAGCCGC